CCCATCCGTCTTGATGGAATTGTCCCAGACCCTGGTTGAACCTGCTTGTGTTTGTCTCGTTCCAGCCATCAGGGAACCCCAGGGCCCCGAGCTGACCACTGCTCAGGGAGGAAACCCCACGAACTAGGCCTGAGGCTACCTGTTTCTCTGGGCTGCCCCGCTCTAGGCCCCTCATGAGTCAGGCGTCGGCCATCTTGCCACTTGGCCTGCGCGCCCGCAAACGAAAAGCCCCTCTGGTGCCACAGCTGCCAGTGGTCCTGGATCCAGAACACTTTACTGGCTGTAGGTATAGTAGCAGCAAGAGAAGTACAGCCACTCCTTTTTCAGCAGAGATTTGTTGAGCACTCACTGTTCGCCGGGCCAGGCAGTAGGCTGGGGACAGAATGTGAGTTCAACCCAGTCCTCGTCCCCAAAGCTCACAGATGAGTTGAAAGGAGGAGTATACGTGCGATCCATGAAGTGATGAGTTAGGAGAGATGATGGGGCACCCATAAGAGGCATAAAAGGGCAGGAAAGCTGCCTGAAGGAAGGGCATCGACGTCAGGATGGGCAGGGTGAGAAACTCAGCTGGGTGAGGAGGACGTGGGGGCAGAAGGTGGAAATGGGAGAGGGGGTTCCAGGCCGAGGTTTAGCTGTGCAAAGGCTTGGAGTCGAGGGAGGCCAGTGAGTCCAGAGAACCTCATGGTGCAGCAGGGCCCAGAAGAAGTGGGCAACTAGGTGGGGATGAGACCCTGAAGGGGCTTAGAAGTAGAGAACTATGAGACCCGGGGGCTTTTCCCAAGAGCTGTCTGGTGCCATTGGAAGAATCTCAATCTCTGGAAGAAGCCCTGGGATGTTCAGGCAGACCCTGGCTCTGCACTAGTTCAGCACTCGGAGGTATACAGAGAATGTAAGGCTCAGTCCCTTCAGGCAGCATTGGCGTCAGTGGGCAGATCACACAGACTGTGTTGGGTAACAGCTAAGCTGCACATGATGCGCCCATTGCCCACAGTTGCTAAGATTTGGAGGACACATTTATTAGGTGCCCATTATATTTTGGGGTCTACACTAGGCACCTAACTTCTGACATCTCACTGAGTCCTCAAGGCAACCTGTGGAGTGCCTGTTACTACCTCCATTTTACAGATGAAAGACTAAGTCTCAAAGAGTGACTTCACACAGAAGCATATAATCAGGAAGGGCCAGTCCCAGGACAAGAGATCAGCGGGTGTTCTCTCTCCTACTCCATGTTGCGCCCCTGAGTGTGGGACAAGGATGTGGGAAGGGCTTCATGGAGGAGATAAGGTCTGAAGAGGTCCCAGGGTCACCTCTTAGGCTCCGGGGTATGGGCTAAGAGTCTGACATTTAGATTTTAGGAGAGGCATATGGGATGACCAAGGATCTAGGTAAACAGGGAGTGTCTCTGAGGGTTTGCCCATCTGAACCTTGGAGTTGAGTCTTTTGCTTGAGTCTTTTGAGGGAGGCGGCAGCTTTTCTAAGAATAAAATCAGTGAGTAAAGGATATAATCACCAATCCTCTTCAAATTGGTGGATGTTATGCATGCCGTCTCCATGCTATTAATAGGGAATGGTGTTTCCCAGAGATACCTGCTTTGGAAAACTTCTCAAGTGTCTAAGGTTAATAGGCATTGCACATAGTGGGGATGTTGGCTTTTTGAATTGGAGATGAGTAACTGACATGCACCTAAAATGCTTCCAAGGATTTGGAAGGGCCTGGGCCAGGTTGCGTAAGGGGGTGGGCGAAGCAAGTGTATTTTTCTCGAGAGCTCTTGTAGAATGGCACAGTCACTCACATGCTACCGAGGATTCTGTGACCCCTGGAAAGCCCAGAGCTGGGCTAGATGGCTCCACAAACTAGCGTGAAATGGAGCTAGAGGTCCCCTGGGAAGGATATCCCTGGCTGTGCTGACTGACCCTGGATCCCTGGTACTCAGTCAGAGGGTGACAATGCTCATACATCCTGTAGAATCTAGCTCCACCACCACGCTCAGCTGACCTCGGGAACCAAAACCAGTTTCCATGACTAATGGCCACTCAGAACTGAAAGGTGAAGCACAAGCAGTAGGTACACAGGGAGAGCCAATGCCAGAGCAGTTCCAGATTTCCCGAGCTTCTCTATACACATGCTCCCCCTCATGCGTGCCCGGTGAGAGGGAGCCGGGAAGGAGGGGTCCCCGCTTCTGTAGGTACTGGAGACCCAGGCACGGCCCACCCTTAGCCATGTTACAAAATGAGTTTTCCTCCCGCCCTTTTCCTTGCCTCCCTTCTTCACCCCTCTTCACACACCTCTTCTTCTACCACCCCTTCTGCTGCTCTCCAGCCCCTTCTGACCCCTCTCGAGGACATCTTTTGGTCACCTTCTGGGATGATGCTCTGTGCTTCCCAAGTCACTCCTCCCCACCCCGTTCCTCCTCCTAGACTCATTTTACCCAGCGCAGCAGGCCCATACTCAGCAACGCCTTCCTCAATCCAAGTGAATCCATCCCTCCTTGGACAGAGATGTTCAGAAGAGGCACATCACCACACCCTTTCCCCTGGCACTGACCCTCCCATGTCACTGTGGAGATGGGCTTGGTATTCCTCTTGGAAGTCCCTGTCCATGAAGGGCCCCCCTTTCCTTTCCTCTTGTGGTATACACAGCAGAGGTGGAGACCAGATCGTCCTCCTGCCCAGGAGCCAGCCCTTCCTGGTAGAGGTTACTGAGCCATGTCTTGGCTTCCCCATCTCAAGGGCAACATGCACATCCTTCAGTTGCAGGTCCTGTTTCCATCCCTTGGGTTTTCTGTATCTCCCTTCTGTCTCCCCTCCAAGGTCTCTGGGACGTACTGAACTATGCAGCTCAAGCCCAGAGAAAAGACACCAAGCAGGCCTGATGGGTGCTGAAAGCTTCACTCATCCCTGCTCTGTGCCGTCCACCTGATTCTGATCTCAGCCTGGGGTGATCGGCAGACATGGTCCCCCGCCAAGCCCACCCACTCTCACCCCGACCCATAGCCTCTCCTGCCATGCTTGCCCACTGGCCAGCCCTTTTGGCTCCATGATAGCCCAGCAGCCTGGCCTAAATATCTCCTGGTGGGCTTCGATCCTTGCCCTGTCTTTCCATTTCTGCAGGGTCCAGCTCTCCAGACGCTCCACGCACGCGGCATCCTGCAGAGACCCGGATTTGACTCTGACTCTGCTCTTAACTAGTCAGGTGATCCTGCTTGAGTCAGCAGATCTCTTTGAGCCCCACTTTCTTCATGTGTATAATCAGGGTTACAATACCTGCCTGTTCCAAGGACCAAATAAGGAAACGAATGGGAAGGTGCTCCGTAAACTATAAAGCCGCCCTTCCCAAACCGTGTCCTGCAGAACTCTTCTCCTAAGGGAGGTGCTGAGAAGCTATTCAGGAAAAAAAAAAAAAAAAAGTTTCATGTCAAATATGAGGAAGGCTGTCCTAAACACAGTGAACCCAGTTTCTTGACTCTAGGACGTCTCAGAGCCTTTAATCCGCCAGTGTACATGGCAAACCTCCAAGAACTGGGTGCAAAAATAGCTTTGTCTCAAAACCACTTTTTTCAGACTACTTATTAACGTCTTTCAGGTCACTCATTTGCACAGAACAAAGCATATATTAATAATATTCTTCCTACAAATAATAATGCGATTTCCACAAGAGCCATTCCATCATCCGGGTCACTAATCCTGGGTAACACCAGTTAATCAGCGCCTGGAAGAATATGGCAGGAGCTCCTCCAAGCCCCTGGGCGTTATGCCGTGTACTACAGGGGAGGGGGGCTGGTGCTGAAGGCCCCTGCAGTTGGACTCGCCCTCCCTCCCTCCATCCCCAGGCTGGACTCTACCCCAGGCGGCTCAGTGAGCCCATCGTCCTGTTCTCCATCTTCCGTGTTCCTGCCCCACCCCCACCTTTGCCCCATCTCTCTCCCTGCCAAGGCTACGTCTTCCATCTCTACCAACGCGACTGTAACTCATTCTTCCAGCCCCAGCCAAGTCCCGACTTCTCCATGGAGGTTGTTCTAGCTCTTGCAGTGTGTGTTTGAGACAGGAATACTGGCTCCCAAATTAACCAGAAGTCCCAAAAGGCAGAGAGTGTGATTCACACTTTCAGATTTTCCCCCCAAACCAGGATTTGTTTGATTGCTGCCCTCCACATCCCCCCTATAGACCATAAGCCCTACTTTGGGAACTTGAGCCTCCCAACCAGGTATGGGTCCTTCTGAGCTGGGGAGTCATTGGTGGGTTTTTCCCATGTTCATTCATTCAGTAGATGCTTCCTGTAGGGAACCCAAGGCTGACGAAGACAAGGCCCCTGCCTTTAAGGAGCTCTCGGTCAAGACAAACACACAAAACTCATTGCAAATAATCATAGAAATAATGTAGGAGCGCAAAATAGGGTTCTGAGTGTGTGCAGGTAGGGATGGAGGCAGGCTTCCCAGAAGATGGTCCCCCCGCCCCCCACTCAGCCTCCTACTTAGAGGATGTGCTATGGAGCAGACTTGGCAAGGTTAGGGAGGTCTACCACTAGAGAAGAAAGACCACTGGAGACTCTGTGGGAAGGAGATTCGAGTGTGTTCCCTGGGTTACAGGGATGGAGGTCTCGATGGGAGAAGGAGATTCGAGTGCGTTCCCTGGGTCATAGGGCTGGGGGTCTCGATGGAGCTAAAGGGTTAGACTAGGAGGGGCAGTGTGAGATGAGAACTCTGCATCCCACTCTCCCAGACACACACACCCCACCCCCACACAACAGTCTGTGGGAATCCCACTTCCCTGCTTTTCCATCATCCCCTCTCACCTGGACTCATTCTTCCTCTCCAAGTCCTCTGCCACCTCCTGGTCCTGGGGCCATCCATCGTGACCTCATCGGAGCAGCCCTGGGTCTGCTCTTGGTAGCCAGCAGTCTGCTTTGGTGAGAGGCTGGTCAATGTGATGCCCAGTCCCCACGGGGGGCCCTGGGGAGGAAGGTCAGCCTGGAGTCAGTGCTTTCTCTTTTCTTCTCGCAGAAAACCAAAAGAGACGTCAATAACTTTGACCAAGACTTTACCCGGGAAGAGCCAGTACTCACGCTCGTGGACGAAGCAATTGTGAAGCAGATCAACCAGGAGGAATTCAAAGGCTTCTCCTACTTTGGTGAAGACCTGATGCCCTGAGAAGCTGCTCCAGGTGGAGTTTGGTGATGCTGCGGGAAGGAGTGCCAAGAAGAGTCCGATTTCTGGAGGCTCCGAAGGCCTTGAACTGCTTCTCCTGTTCTCCAAAGCCCCAGTCCCTCGTCTACCCTCTATTTATTGCATTCCCTTGACCCAGGCCAGGTCCTCCCTCTTCTACCTGGGGACCAGATTGCACTCTTGGTCCTTGTCTCAGCAGTCGTGCCGAATCGCATGGGGTCGGCGGGCAGTGTTTGGTGTGTCGGCAAGCCTGTCTCCCCTCCTCGGGGGTTCCCAGCAGTGACGCAACTTCAGTTCTTTTCCTTCGAAGAGCAACAAGAAGAGCAAACAAGAAGCCCCCGGCTCTGCTGTCAGACAGAGGGTCCCGACAACTGTCACCTCTCATCCCCCCCTTCCCCCCCACCTGCCATCCTCTGCCCTTCTGTCCAGGAGAGACGGGTGCTTCTCCAGCCTGGGGGTGGGCGCCCTCGGGGCATGCTGTGAAGGAGACAGCCGGCGAGATGCACGGGTGGGCTCCCTGTGTCAGTTTGCTCTGGAATGGCTCATTCGCCTTGCTTTGGTGTTAGCTTTGGGCATGCCAGCGTTGTGAGAGCATGTATCTCGTGGAAGAAATCCCTCTTTGTAGAAAAAGAAATTTGATTTTTGAACTCGATTGACATTTGAAAAATATATTAGCAAGTTGGCTTTCTGATTGGCCAAAAGATATAAATTCCAATATTAATGCAGGGAGCTATTAAAGGGCTAATATACAATGAGAAACCAACCGTCCAAGGTTGATGCTGTTCACACTTTCGTGGCGCATGGGGGCTGGATGAATCGAGAGAGAAGGAAACAAGGGGCGCTCCTCATTCTTCAAGCTCTGGCTGAACACAGAGGCCACCGTGGCGATGGCTCAGACCCTGAGGTTCTAGTCAAGCTCACTCCCAAATTTTCTTTCCGGTTTTGTTCTAAATTCCCAGCACACACACTATTTATTTCCTGCGACGGCGTGTTCCTTTTGCGCACTTCTGCGAAAATGGTTGTACTACTGTGTCGTGGTCTTTAGACGTTACACGTGTGAAGTGAAATATGAAATCTCCGCTCTTGAGATGAGCAGAGTGAGGCTAAACAGGGGTTATGTGCAGGGTATCCAGAGACGGACGAGCGACTTGTTTGGAAACTGACAACGTGGCCGATGTGCTTGGAGCTGTGTTTCTGTGTGTCATGCCGGGGCAACTCATGCGGACACGATCTCATGGATGTGATGTTACCTCCTGTAGATATTGCTAACAGTGTTACATTCTTCGATTTCCAAGGGTTCTCTGTGGCTGTGTGTATATGTTTCCCGGAGGTCATTTGATTTATCTATTTTACCGAACTGATTTAGCAGGGAATGGAATCCATTCCAGCTGTTGCACGTGGATTTCCCAGCCGCCCCTAAATATGTATACTTGTGAGTGGCAGAGTGGCACTAATGAAGCTTTTTGCCTTTTGTACATTTGACATTTTTGTATATAGTGTTTGCTGCAAGCCTGTGGATTTAATTCATTGAGTTTAGAGGTATCAACTGCTGCATGTTCAGGCATATTATAAAACTTTAGTCTATGAAAGAATAATTATAATAATGTCCAGGTGCAATACTCTGTAAGCATATTGGTTCAAGTTACCGGGAGATAAGGTGTGTTTCTTTCTTTCTTGAGGGCGGGGAGGAGTCCTTTGTATTGTTTATTTCATTTTGGTTTATTTCAGAAGATGTAAACATATATTAAGCTATATTAAGTCTCACAAATAGTTCTCCTGTGCTCTATTATGCCCTGATAGAGATGGGGAAGGGAAAGGGATGTTTTTGATGGTGGTTTCAAAGCTTGGACAGTGACTAGCTCGAGCCCCTAGGAAGTTGGTGTCCATATTTGCATCTGGCCGGTCACAGCCTTTGTTACTAACGATGACCTTCAGTTCTCTTTTGTTTTTATTTTTTTAAAAACTCAGGTGTAATTATTATCTGTTCTTACGTTAATTTCAAATATTATACTATATCAATTTGTGTGTTTGGCATACCAGTGAAGTGATGAAGAACAGTAGATTAACTTAATTTATCTTCGGTAACTTGACATACTGGGGAGAGACTCTTCTGGAGTTGAGTACAAGCACAGAAACATCTTCATGGTGGCATCATCTCATTTTTTAAGAAGACATGACAAGACTGCCCATCATACTCATGCATCACTACTGCTCTGTTTTTCCTCTGCTTCCTTCACCACGATGAACTTGGAGTGACCAAGCAAGCTCTAACTGCAATGCCAAATGGCCTGCACCAAGGCCTCGGTGGTGTTCCCTTCTCAGAAGGGCTTGGGTCCTTCCCACAGGACAACTGGCATTTTTGCTGGAAGGTCAAACAATACATTCCACCCGGCAGCTCCAGGCAGTCATGCGCGGGGTGTCTGGCCCAGAGACACCCCCTTTCAGCACCAGAGCTGGGCTGGCTGGGACGCCACCTGCTTGGGGCCGGAGCTGACCAAGTTCTCACACGGGCAGGTTCAAATCCCACGTCATCTATAGAAAAAAAGCTTGTGTGTTCCTTGAACATTCTTTGTTTCCTTTCAGTTTTCACAAGGGTTAGGAAGCGGACACACGGTTACATTTCTTTCTCATCTATCCAGCTCTTGAGTGGAAAAAAAAAAAAAAAAGCCAAAAAAATACATGAAGGATAGCTGTTCTCCTGTGTTCTCTCATTATGGACTTCGTGAAGTGGAAACATCACTTTTTTCCTCCAAAGGTGAAAAAAATGCATTCTTGCTTTAAAAAAAAAAAAAGCTAAAAAATTACCTCTTTTTAAATTATGTGCAAAATAATTCTGGCTAAATATAAAATGTATTCAATTTTAGGGTTTTTTTTTTGTATTGTGATGCTTTATTTGTACATTTTTTTTTCCTTTCTGGATGTAATTTTAATCTCTTGCCATTCATTAGTGTTATTTCATTGTAAACATTATTGTGCCAAATGTACTGTATTCAAAAGGATGTGAATGTGTATTGTTTCAGAACCTAATAAATACAATGGCGTTAAATCTTATTTCTGGGCTCCAGTGAGCATTTTTATCTCCTTTGTGAGGGGCAGGGTCGCTAGAGATTCCAAATTCCAAAACCTAGACATGGTTTCAGCTTTCCCCTGTCCTTTGAAGATGCAGGAAGGATGCACATGGCCATATTGACTCACCCCAGCCTTGCCTCTAAGCTTCTGGGAATACCACCGCGGGGATGGAGGGGGCCTGAGTAGACCAGACGTGGCTCTGGGCGGTCTGGGCGTGGAGCGAAACCGCCCCATCTGCCTGGGAGTGTTGGAAGATGGGCGAGCCAAGCAGGCAGCACCCGCGTTTTTGTCTTTCTAGAGAAGCAAACGCTGAATCTCGCTGAAGCCAATGCCCATTCAAGCCTCGTCAGGACTCAGGTTCTGATTGGCCTTTCAGAACGTCGGGTCTTTGGAGTCCAGGAAACTCCTCCTAGACTGGGAGCCCCTTGCAGGCTGGACCTGGAGCACGACTGACCACTGGGGCTCAGAGCGTTAGGTTGTGCCCGCCTCCGCGGCTCGGCCAATGTTCGTGGCCATCATGGTGACTCCTGGGCTCTCCGGTTCCTCCTTCATTCTGGGGCTCCTTTCTCATGTCACACTGCTGGTTCTGCAAGGCTCCTCCTCTTCTTTCTCCAACACAGATTTCTCAAGAATATTTGAAACTCAAAAGTACACTCTTGAGTACACCACAAATTTCCGTTAGCCAAAACTTCGTCTTCCTTAAGAGTTGTGGAAATGATTGCAGGTTTATTATTTGTCATCCTCGGGTGAAGGGATGGTCAACCTGTCATCCTTTCAGCCCTCAAAACCGCTTCCTCATAAGCCCGCCAATGACTGTGGTAGGTCATCCCGAATGTACTCTCAGTCTCCCCTCAGTAATGTCTCCTGCCTGCCTGGGGATGTAGCATGGACCTCCAGACCCCCCCACCCCCAACAGGAAAACTGTATATATCACATAGTCTCCTCCCTGATTCAGGCAAGTTGTCTTGGTAAGTGACCAAGGAAACACAAACATCTTGTCAGCTTGTCTGTCTCATTAATTTAAATAAAAGTCAGAAGAAATAAAAGGAGCTATTCTAGGAAGGTAAGAAGACGTCTCCAAGCATTTCACTGAATGAAATCTGACCAGCCTATACCTCCCTTGCCTGGTGGCCCAGAAGAGACAGCTCCAAAGTCTGGAAGATGAGGGAACTCATCCTCCCAAATCTATATATTCCACAAACCCCATGGAAGCTATAAGAAAGGTCAATTGCTGATCAGCATCCCTGGTTTGGAACCTCTCTCCCACCCCCAGCCACGTTCCAGGAGAGAGAGCCAGGCACTGGTCGATCTGTTCCAGGAAACCATGGACGTTTGTTCCTGGTGAGGCTTAGATGGTTCCAGAGCTGCTTCAGGGAAGCCTGTTTGGGTGGCTGTGCCCTTGAACTGAAAACCTGCCAGTCTAACAGATTCCTTATGGAATCAATGAGCACATTGCCCCTTCTCCATCTCCTTATACCTGAACCGAGTCCAGCGCTTGCGTTAGCAGCAGCCTAAAGATCCCCATGTGATAAGATGACTGAGCCACGTGACACGTGTTGTCATAACTCTTGGGTGGCAGAGATGGAGTGGCAAGAAGGCTTAGACGCCATATTACGAAATCTGTTTCTTATTTGAGAGTACTTTAGCCTCGACGATGATACTACACTGAGGGTACGTTGGTTGTAAGCAATACCTGAAGAATGGAACAGCTGTGCCAATCAGGAGTATCTCCTCCAGGGATGGAGAGCTGGTCAAAGAGTGTTTGTTTTTTTCCAGAAGCCTGCTGCAAGTGCTTCTGCTCCCTCTTATCTCCCATCAACACCTGGAGGTTTTGTCACTAGCATAAAGGATTCCAGGAAAATATTTTCTCAAGGAAAATGGTGGCTTGTTAACTAGCATAGAGAATGTTAGAAAGGTGACGTTGGTGATATTTGAGATAGCAGATGGTCAAAGATATTTAAAGACAAATCTCCACATTGAAAAACAAAAAACAATGAAAGAAGTAGCCTTCTACCTCCCTAGCCATCGGGGCAGTGAAAATCTAAATCCGTGCAATCCCACCTCACGCCTGCCAGAATGACTACATAAAAAGGCAGACATTATCAAGTTTTCTTAAGGATATGGAACAGTTGGAACTTTTGGTGTTTCTGGTTTGAGTATAAAATGGTACAACTACTTTGAAAAATGTTTGCTACTAAAAAGGCTACTGAAAAGTCTACTAAAGCCAAACAAGCTTGGCTCAACAGAACAGTCTATCAACCATAGAATAAGAAATGCATTGAGGAGTATTTGCAGAATAGGACACTGGAGAGAGCCTGGAATGATTTACAGCTACGAGCAACAACATAGATGAATCTTGCAGCATAATGTCGAGTTTAAGAAGCCAGGCACAAAGGAAGGCAGACTGTATGATTCCATTTGTGTAGACTCGCGAAACAGATCATCTGTGCTACTAGAAATCTAGCAGGCTAGTTGTTGCCTTTGTGGGGAGGGGACGTCGTGACTGGAAGGGGCCACAGAAGAAGGCTTCTAGGATGCTGGGTAAGTTTTGTTTTCTGAGCTGGGAGCTGCCCAACAGCTATGTTCACTTTGTGATCATTGACTGAGCTTATGACTGGTGGACTTCTCTCTGTGTGTATTATACATCAATAAAAAATTGCCACACACACGCACCCACCCCAGGATCACTTTTGTCTCTTACTCTTGGGGATGGCACAGGTGGGCCCTGTAAGCTGCCCTTGTCCCTCTGCTGTCCTGGCGGAGCCTCAGTCACCTAACTCCCACAGCAGCCTCTCCTGTGGCTGGCCCCAGGTCTCATTTGACCTGGGTGGACCTTTTCTTCAAGGCACTGTTGGAAACACTGAGGTTGACAGAGCTGGAACTACATGGAACTTGCTCAACGGCCACAAGACTCTTCTGTGCGTGCTGGCTAATAAAATGTCTGTGTGTCTCCGAACGTGGTCCGCGGGGACCTTAGGGAGCAGCTAAGCCTCCCCCTCTGGCAGCCACTGAGATCACCAAAACAGAAGCCCGGGAAATGCATCACCAAAATTGGTTCAGGGAGTCTGTGACGAGAGGTTTGGCTTGCGGGTTTTCTGCTCGGGCAGGCAGCCGTGCCTTTCTAAACCTGTTTCCACATTCATCAAATGGTGATAACAAGACCTACTACCCCAAAGTCCTCTTGTGGAAGGTCAGCGAGATAAAAGGTTCCAAAGCACCGCATCTAGAGTTGTGGCTCTTCTTTCTCTTCCCCAAGGCACTCTGTCCCCGATCAGAGCCCAGCCTGCATCACGGGCAGCGTGGCCTGGTCTGCCGGGGACTGCTTGGCTCTCCTGTCTGCGCTGTGCTTTGTTTCCCCTCATCCTCCAGATGGCCTGCCCCTCAGCTCTCCGGGGGCACCTACACACCCCATCCCACCTGTGAAGGACCCTCTTTGGGGCAGGAAGGGAACACGGGTGAAGACAAGGTCTTAGCACTCAGGGAAATTACAACCCACAGAAGATGTGATAGGCCCATGCAGAAGAGCAGCAGAATGTAGACAAGAGAGACAAAGATCAGCCCTGTAGGTGACGCCAGGGAAGTCCAGAGAAGGGGGTTAGGTTTGTGCTATCCAGGCAGGCTTCCTGGAGGAGGCCGTGGTGAGAGGGCACTGAAGGAGGACAGGCTGTGGGGGGGGGCGGGCAAAGGGCAGAGAAGGGCCTTCCGTGTGGCCCCTCAGCTGGTTCAGGTAGTCTGGCAGTAAGCAACCTTGCCGCAAGCATCTTCACCCCATAACTAATTAGCCATAAGGCGATTTTGCTGTAAAAGAGAAAAATCACGAAAAATAGATGAAACTTTCATTAAAAGGGACATAATAAAACATGAAAAATGAATAACAACATTAAAAAGACTTTATTGTGAAATTCAAAATATTTGAATACGTTCAAAATGTATAGTGTAGATTATTGGCAACACTGCCCAAATAACTGATTTTACTTCATGGATTGTAGAAAAGCGCATGTCTTCAAAGCCTTTCCATCATAATATTATACTGTGTGTGTGTGTGCGCGTGTGTGCGTGTGCTGATTGATTTGTCTCATTTGGCATCTCGCTTTTTCTTTCTTCGCTGCAATTTCTCCCTTCACTAAGAGAAGTATGTGTTTCCGAGTACGAGGACGCATCTTTGTAACTGAGCTTTGTGTTGCACTGTGAAGGCCTTCCACGTTGCTGTTTGTTCTTGGCGTATGGTCACATGCCCATTGCCAGAAGCTCCGACGATCTAAGGGAAACGTGGGCTCAACACTCCGTGCTGCTGTGTAGACCATCATGAGGGTGAAGATGTATAGAATATAGAAATGGGCAAATACAAAAATGGGCACATGGCATCAATGGAGAAATAAAACCAAACCGTCAATCAGTTTTTTGTTTGTTTGTTTTTTATCTTTTACAGCAGAATTGTCTTATGGCCAACTAGTCAAGTGGCAAAAGTGTTTGCAGCAAAGATGTCTATGGCAAAGATGTTTACCGAAATAGCACCAGACCCGAGCTCAGCTTGGAGTAGCACGGAAGGCCTGGGGTGGGGGACCCGGCTTGCAGGGCAGTGGTCCAACTTCATCTCTCAACATGAGATTGTCAGGGTCACAGGAGTCCTTCAGAGTAGCCTGACCGTCTCTGCAGGTGGGACAGTCTCCCGGAGAGCCCAGCCCTGCCCTCGATAGAGGGCTGTCTTTGTGGATGACGGGAGAGATCAGGTCTCACTGCCCTCTCTGATTCTGATCAGATCCAGTAGTTGCTGCCCGAGGACTGAGATCAGGTCAGCCTCAGTTCTAGAACCCAAATGCCGAGTAAACTATTCCAAGCCTTACTGCTTCTCAGGCCCTTCTGTGAGTGGCGAAGCGGCAGCAGGAAGCTGCCCGCTGCTCTCGAGGCTGGCCACCAGCTGCAGAATCTCACCATTTATGCTTCCTTCTTTGGGTCGTTAATTATTTGTTTCACCTGCATTA